AAAAAAAAACCCTGGTTTTCACCAGAATTGTCCCCTTCCTTTTTCCTCTCTGGGGCCCTGAGTGTCACAAAGTCTGAAGTTCAACACCAGTCCAGGTTCAGGTTCATGGCAAGGCCTTTGTCCTGGTGCAGATTCCTCTGACTTGGCAGGCTACCTGGCACTTGTCAGCGGAGAAAAGCTCCCTGGGCTCATTCCCTGCACCTGAACGTGTCCTGGAAGCAGAGCCCTGCTTCTCCCAGAACAGGGAGCCACAGCTGTAAGTCCTGCCCTCCTCCTCAGCCCATTAGAGCATGAAAGCATTCAGGCTTTGTGCACATGTCCCACATGTGCTTGTCCCAGCAGGGTCCAGGGTGGTGGGGTTGATGCTGGGACAGAAACCCTGATAGTCTGCCTCTGAACTCCATGGAGTAGGGAACAGTAGCCCCGCACAAGGACCTGCTTCTCTCTCCTCCCCAGCACATGGGTTTTGGAAGGAAGACCTTGATTTCTTGAGGGAACACGAGTGTCGAGGTCCAGGCCTACTGGGAGGCCCATTCCAGCGAAAGGAATAGCAGTTTTACCCCTTGCCAGGATGGCAAGGAATAGTGTGGCGTTTGTTCCCCACACAGGAGGTGCCTGGTTCCTGAGCAGAGATGAGGAGCAGCCTCCTGCGGAAGGGCCTGCAGACCTGGAGCCATCATGGACTGGCCCAGGGAGTTTGGGTGAGATGGACTCCCTGAGACTTGAGAAGGAGCAATGGCACAAGAGTCAGGTGAGGCCCCAGAAGGAAAATGTACCGGTGAACCAGGTACCATCTCCATTTGGGCTTGAGAGTGGAGAGGGGCAGACCCCAGAAAGAGCGCTGGGTGCGGGGGAGAATTTGTGGAGCTGAGGGACATAAAGAGCCACAAGAAAGAGGCACTGCATCCCAGGCAAGAGACTGGGGAGGGCCTCGGGGGAAATCAAGAGCTCACTGGCAAGCACAGGAGCATAGCCCAACCCTGTCCCAAAGTCAGGAAAACCTTTAATTGCCCATCACTCATTGCTCTTCATAAGCTAAGGCACGCTGGGGAGAAGGCCCATATATGCATCAAGTGTGCAAAAAGCTTCACCTGCCTCTCAACCCTGGTTGCTCACCCCAGATCCATTCTGGAGAGCGTCCCACTCCTTCACCAAATGAATGATCAGCTTTGTGTGCCCCTCGGGCCTGGTGAAGCACCTACATGTCTACAGGGGGAAGCTTAGGTACCGGTGTGCCAAGTGTGGCAAGACCTTCACCCATTTCTTCTCCCTTCTCAGCACCAGCACATCCACCTGAGGAGTGAGACGCACCACTGTACTGGGTTCGGGAAGAACTTGTGCTGGCAAGACCAGTCCCAGCAGCAGTGTGCGCAGAGGGAGACGCAGCCACAGCATGGCACCAAGTGTGGGAAGAGCTTAAGGCAGCCCTCCAACCTGGCCAAGCACTGGTGCATGCACGCAAGGGAGAAGGCACATCAGTGCTCAAAGTGTGGGAAGAGCTTCAACCTGTCCTTCAACCTGACTAGACACCAGCTCATCAACATGGCGGAAAAGCCACATCAATGCTCGGAGTGCGGGAAGAGCTTCACCCGACCCTCCCTCCTGGCCCAACACAAGCTCATCCACATAAGGGAGAAACCACATCAGTGCTCAGAGTGCGGGAAGAGCTTCAACCGACCCTCCCAGCTGGCCGAACACAAGATCGTCCACACTAAAGAGAAGCCATATCAATGCTCAGAGTGTGGGAAGAGCTTCATCCGATCCTCCTACTTGACCCAACACAAGCTTATCCACACAGGGGAGAAGCCACATCAATGCTTGGTGTGCGGGAAGAGCTTCACCCACCCCTCCAGCCTGGCCCGGCACCATCTTGTGCACACAGGGGAGAAGCCACATCAATGCTTGGAGTGTGGGAAGAGCTTCACCCACTCCTCCAGCCTCGCCAAGCATCAGTTTATCCACAGTGGGGAGAAGCCACATCAATGCTCGGGATGTGGGAAGAGCTTCAACCAATCTTCCAACCTGGCCCGGCACCAGCTCATCCACACACAGGAGAAGCCACATCAGTGCTTGGAGTGTGGGAAGAGCTTCAGACAGCTCTCCACCCTGGCCCGGCACCAGCTCATCCACACAAAGAAGCAGCCACATCAGTGCTTGGAGTGTGCAAAGAGCTTCAGCCAGCTCTCTACCCTGGCCCGGCACCAGCTCATCCACACAAAGAAGAAGCCACATCAGTGCTTGGAGTGTGGGAAAAGCTTCAGACAGCTCTCCACCCTGGACCGTCACTGGCTTATTCACACACAAAAGAAGCCCTATAGGTGCTCAGAATGTGGGAAGAGCTTCAACCAATCCTCCAACCTGGCCCGGCACCAGCTCATCCACATAAAGAAGAAACCATATTAGTGCTTACAGTGTGGGAAGTGCTTCCCCCACTTCTCCAAGCTGGCCTAGCACCAGTCCATCCACATACGGGTGCATCTGTAATGCTTCCAGCAGTGCAGAAAGGGCTTGGGGACGTATACCCGCTCAGCCCCTGCCAGTGTTTGCATCCAGGGAAGCAACCTCATGGTGGTGCAGTGCAGCAAGAGTTCATCCATTGTTCAGCCCTGATAGGGCACTGCAGAACCCAGAGGGCACAGAGGCTAGCCGCCAAGGTTTGATGCAGGGGATGGGATAAAAGGAAAGCCCTCAGGCAGAGACCAGTCCAGGTGCTGGGAGAACCTGTGAGGAGATGACCTTTGCATCAGCCTTGGAGCTTGTGCCATCCCAGTCACTCTCTAAAAGCAGTCGGTGCTGCCAGGGGAGAAGTGCCTTCATAATACGGTGCCCTCCCCAAGACAACTGGCTCCATATGACACCCAGGGACTGTCTTCAGCCAAATCCAAGCTTTGTCCTTTCTCCTGCTCCCAGGTTCCCAGTATGTGAAGTTCTAGAGTGGAAGGGAGGTGGCCATTTATGGCAGGGAATCATTCCCTGCCTTGCACCCTGGCCTCACCTTTCACCCCCGCCACATCACCTCCTTCCTAGGCCTGCACGTGCCCATCATTGTCTGCTAGAAGCTGCAGCTGCCGCGCCACGAGCCCAGTTCGGCAGTTTTGTTTCTCAGCCCCTCGTCAGAACTGCACCACCAGGCGCCAGCTGCTGCCCCCCCCACCCCATCCCAGTCTCTATAACAGACTCTTTGCTAATCAATTGGGCTGTAGGGCTGTGCAAAGCTTTGGATCATGATTCAGGTTCGGGGATGATTCGGAGGCTGAATCTACAAGTCTGAATCAAATCACGTGAAGCTTTAGGCTTTCTGAATAGATTTGGAGCTTCCGATTTGATTCAGAAAAGACATGGAGATTTGGCCATAAGGTATAATGGGGAATCAATGAAATATCTTTAACTTCGTTGTTGTTTGGCTGATTCAGATGAAACTTGTAGTGACGGTAGCCTCTGCTGAGACCATTATGTGTACCAAGTCTCAAGGTGATGGAGGTTCTGGGAAACTGCACCCCAAAACTGAAAGCAAAACTCCTGGCACGTGTGTTTGTGTTAAGCCACAGTGAGGTGAAAACTGCAGGGAGGGTACAGGGCTAGCAATAAACCTGACACAGGCGGCCAGATGCGGAGAGTGCAGCTGGGCTCTAACTCTCCACCTGCAACTTCACCTTGTGCAGCAGCCCTTTGGGTCTCCGCAGTCTGAACCCAGGGGAGAGATCAAAAGGGGATCTCCCCCCTGGCTTTCTCCCCCCTGGTGGTAATGCCATCAGCCAGTAGGAACTGGAGCCTACGATGGCTGTGGCCATGGGTGTCAATGGAGTCATAGTTGACTCCCAAGATGAACATGAGCCGGCAGTGCAACGAGACCGTCAACAAGGCCAATCGCACCGTGCCGTGTATTAGCAGATGCATGACCAACAGAGCGAGGGAGGTGATGCTCCCCCTCTATGCAGCACTGGTCAGGCCGCAGTTGGAGTACTGTGTCCAGGTCTCAGCACCGCACTTCAGGAGGGACACGGAGGATCTGGAGAGGCTCCAGAGGAGGATCACTCACATGATTAGGGTTCTCCGTGCAAGACCCTACGAGAGGCAGTTGAGGGACCTGTGTTTCTTTGGCCTTCACAAGAGACGGCTGAGGGGAGACCTTGGAGCCACCTATAAGTTTTATCAGGGAAGGACAACGGAATTGGTGACACGCTGTTTTCCAGAGCGCCTCAGGGAGTAACTAGGAATAATGGATGCAAAGTAGTGGAGAGTAGATTCAGGTTAGACATTAGGAAGACATTTTTTTACAATAAAGGTGGCCAGAATCTGGAATGGACTTCCAAGAGAGGTGGTGCTGTCACCTAACGCGGAGGTCTTCAAGAGGAGGCTTGACAGTCACCTGGCTGGGGTCACCTGACCTTGGTCCTCTTTCCTGCCGGGGCGGGGGGTCGGAGATGATGATCCATTGGGTCCTTTCCGACTCCATAATCTATCAATCTATGGTCCTGGGGAAGGGCCTGGCCTGGGACACGAGCCGGAGGAGCTTTTGTCTGCTGAGAGCTCCCAGGTCTCCTCGGTTTCAGGGGAATCTGCAGCAGGACAGAGCCCTGAATGGTGACTGCTGTAACATGAATAAGTTCATTGATCGGTACCATGACAAGGCCAAAGACGCAGCCTGTTTGTGCTGGGAGCTGCACACATGCAACGAGAAGGGTCAGGGCCCAGCCTGGGAGCTGCCCAGCCGCAGGGATCAGAACTTGATTCCAGCCCAGCCCCGTGGTTACCAATATTGCAGCCCTGATCCTCTCCCCCTGCATGCAGCACAGCCACTCCAGCACACGGACCCACACCTGGCCCTTACATCTGGTCTCTCACCTGAGTCCTGGGGGGGCAGGGGCTCCTCTCTGGGGACAGGAGGCCCTGGGGTTTCCCTCTCTGCTGACTCTGCCACAGGCCTGTCCGCACGATGGGCCGTTGGTTCCCCCGGCCAGGAATCACCAGGGTCCTGCAGTGCCGCAGTGGACGGCATCTTGTGTGAGGACACCTCCTCGACCTGCACACTCGCTGCGCCCTGGGGACGAGATGAGTGTGTCACTGGGGAGCTGGGACGTGGGCGAGACGGGGCTGGGAGGGAACACGGACATCCCCCCAGCACCCGGCGCCGGGGACAGCAGCGTCCATGGCAGAGGGAAACGCTCTCACTTGGGGCTTCTCGTCCTGCTCCTGCCCCGGCTGAAACCCCTCGGCCAGGGCACGGCCGCGGCGCAGGTGCGCACGCTCGCCCCCACGCCCGGCTCCGCGTCCCGGGGGCAGGAGGGCCAGGAACAGCTCCAGCACCACCAGCTCCAGCCAGTGCTGGCAAAGCTCCCGCAGGCAGCTGCAAACCTCCCACGGCCCCTTGGCTGCCAGGTGGCGGGGCCCGGGGGCAGTGACACCAGGTCTGTGGGGTGGGGGTTATGCCCCAGTGCCAGCTGCGGGGTGCCTGAGGGGATCTCAGCCTGAGGAGGGGCTGCATGGTCTGCATCACCTCCTGCCCCGTGCTCCCAACCCACAGCCCCTGCCCCCGTGCCAGGTTAAGCCTTGCATGGCCCGAGGCGAACACACTCAAGTACCTGGCGCTGGGGCATCGCCCTCACACAGGCAGAAGCTGGGGGTGGGGAGCAGTGCTGGGTGCACGTGCAGAGCTGCTCCTGGCAGAGCCGGAGGGTGCAGGGGGCAGGTGTGGAGGGCTCCCCCTCCCCTCGCAGTGGCTGCAGAGAGAGTGTGAGTGTGAGTGACTGCACCTCTATGCGTGTCTGTGTGTACACATCTGTGTATCTGTGTGCGCATCTCCCTGTCTGACTGTGTGTATGTGTACATCTCTGTGTGTGTGTGTGTTTTTACATGTCTGTCTGCATGTCTATCGGTGCACCGGTCTGTGTGTGTCCTTGCTCTGCGTGGGGAGCTATGGATGTGTGTGTGGGTATGGTATTTGTGGGATGTGCGGTTTTGTACGGAGGAGGGTCTGGCTGTGGGGTTTGTGGGTATGTGGGGTGTGCATGGGAGCCCCCTGCACGCTCCCCCCTGAGCTGGTCAGCACCTGCCCCCACTCTGCAATAACCCAGAACCCAAGTGCCCCGGTGCAGCCGCTCGGATCCAACTTTGGGGGAGCCGCTGCAGCGCCCTGGGCCAGGTCCCCACTGGCTTGTGCAGCCCCCAGTGGCCTCGGCAGCGCCCCCGTGCTGCCCCCCGGGCAGCTGCAGGAGCCTGCAGAAGGCAAAAGAGGGGCAGGAGACAGGTGCCAGCCCCGTGCCTCAAACCGCAATGCCAGAGCTACCGGGATCCCTCTTCTCACCAGTGCTGGCAGCAGCATGGGGCAGGCCCTTCCCTGGGCAAGGGCAGCAACACCGGGCCCTGGAGCCCCTCCCCAGCCCCTCTGGCAAAGGCTTTGCTCCCCACGGCTGGCTCAGGCCATGGGCCTGCTCAGAGCTCAGGCCCTGCTCCTGTCCCGGGGAGCTGACATCTGTGACTGCCTGTGGTGCAAAGGCTGCGGGTTGTGCACTGCTGTCTCGCACCCCTGCACCCAGCACAGAGGCACCACCACAAACGCGTGCGCCACGCAGTCAGAGGCCTTTTCCCCGTCCAGCTCCAGTCTGGCTACGTGCAGTGTCCACTCTGAAACAGGTCTCCACTTACTCAAAGCCTCTCTGTCACCCTCCTTGAAAACCAGAGTGATGATCACCCCCGCTCCATGCCCCCACCAAGTGTTTCCCCCTCTCATTTCCCCATAGGCTTCCCTCAGTTCTGCACCTCCCAAAGCGCAGCAGAGAACTGTTTTAGGAGCCCGTCTTCTCCCGGCGCCCGGCCTTTCCTGGAGTCTCCAAGCACCTCCCGCACCCTGCACTCTTCGTCTAGCCTGTGACCATCCTCTTCACTCATCACTGCATCACAAAGCGCGATGGCATCGCCTCCGTGTCTGGTACCTTGGGCGAGTCCAGATCCTGATAGAAGTCCTCTCCCACACCTGAAATGTCCCCTGTCCCCATAACCCTGCTCCCTCTTCTTCTTCAAGGCCCCCATCCTCTCTCGCCACCTTTATCCTTTTCTCCTAACGGATAGGCACTTTTCATTTTTCTCCATCCACCGCACCTGTTTTGAACATTTGCTTCCTCCCTCTTTCCTTAAACCAGTCCTACAGCTATAAGTCTGGTGTCCAAATTGGCTTTGGAAGCCATCACCAAAGTGTGGACCAGCTGGGCGCAGAAGCGAGCGACGAGGTGGAAGCAGAGGGTTAGCCAGGGGCAGAAGCCAGAGCCAAAGGTCCAGCCAGAGTCACGAGCAGAGAACTGGGATCAGGTGCTGCCAAGGGTCTTACTGGAGCCAGGAGCTGGAGAGCACCAAAGAAGCACATGAAGGTCAAGAGCAAAAGCTTTCACCTTTGCCCAGACAAGGAGGCTGCGGGGCTGGGCCTGGCTTTTAAGCACGGAGCAGGGGTCCTGTTGCCTGGGGCTTCAGGGAACTAGCTGCCCTGATGGCCCCACTTGGCCCAGCTGGGACCAGGGCAGCGCTCCGGGTTTACTGCACGCGGTGCTTGTTCTGGGGGCATGGCCTGGGTCCAGGGCTGTAGCCTGGTCTCATTGCACAGGGGGCCAAACTCAATGGACCACCCTGCATTAAATGAGCTCAAAACATGTCATCACAGCAAACCCACGTCAATGGCTGCAAACCCGTGTGATCCTGCTTCTGTGGGCATGGCTGAGCTATGTCTGGGGCAAGAGACAGACTGACAGACGCAGGAGGTGTCATGAAGGCTGAAAAAGCACAATAGCTCATGAACCGCTGACATGGATTCAATTAAAGCTAAAAGGGATATGATCCAATCCCAACAGCCGCTCTATTGCTGGTGCAGAAGGAGCTGGGGACACACTCCATGCGCTGGCCAGTAGCAAGCCGGGTGGTAGTGCTGACCGGTGTTCCCTGCCCCAGGGGCTCACCACCAACATGTTCAATATCCCGGGCAATGGCATCCAGCCACAAAGTTGTTACGCAGATTTTGTGTAGTAACAACATTGTTGCTGCTTCCACTTCACTGGGGGAACATGTGGCCAGTTACTACTTCAGACAAGTTAATGCATCTTAAAAGTATGGTCTGGGGGCCTCCACGGTCCCCACCCCCTGCTGGCTGTCTCTGGCTAAGTCCCCCACCCACTCTGCAGCTGGGCACGTTCACCCCAAAACCCTGCCACTTGCACCCACCGAGGCTCGGGCTGGTCTCCCAGTATGCAAAATCCACCTGGGAAGCCGCCAGGCACTTTGCAAAGTCCCCCACAGGAGCTGATGCCTGGCCAGCCTGCTCTGCTTCCAGGGCTT